AATAACAGCAACATTAATCACAATGCTGTCACTTTCTTACATTAAACACAAGACTTTTATGAAGAGCCAGATCCAAGCCTAATTTAAACAGGTGTGAATTCACAGTAGGTCTATTGTCACACACCATAAATTAAATCAGAGCCTTGTCCTTAGCTAAATCCTCCCCATGTCTGCATAGCTACAGCATTCACAAAGCTGGGCTTCTCACAGAGCATCAGCCATTGCAGTATTTCCTTTACTAATTAAGTATCTTTACCCCTTTAACAGATACTGTAAGGATACTGAATATGAAGTGCAAAGAACTAAGGTGACTTGTCCAAAACTCACCCATCTGCCCAGCAATCAAAAAGAAAAATCCCCAGAGATTTAGAGACAGTCAAAAGCTCTGTTAAATGGATCACTGCTCCCAGGCTATAAAACAAATACTTGGATGAATTACACAAGAATAATTTTACATGTTTCTAGCTCATTAAACTTAGCTTTGATCTGTAACCTACTAAATTCTCTACTACATCTACTTATTAAAATATGGCTAATACTATTACCCCATCTTTGCAGCCTGCTGTTTAAAATGTTTGTTATTATTAGAAGTATTGTTTCAAAGAGAATCTGATACCATACACTCATGATAAGAAAAAATTTTCCCAACACTTTATGGTGGGCAAAAAGGAAAAATTACATTTTTCCACAGCTGTTTTTCCCCCCCCGCCTTGCTTTGCTTTTAACAAGACAAGTATGTTATTAAAAAAGTCCCCACACCCAATCTCACAAGCACTCTAATGCTACATTGCATGACCAGTGGTATTGCAGCCTGTACTAAAACCCTACTTTCTTTCCTACAAATCTCAAAGAAGTCATTGTGAACTACAGCTAATACCCACTTGTCATAAAATAATTCAGCCAAAGAAATTGAGCAGAAATCTGGATCCAAGGTGAGTCTGCATTTCACAGTACACTCCTCCAGCACTGGGAATCGTGCACTCTCCTACTGGTTGTCACTGTGGTGTAGAGAAAGAGTTACCAATTGCATAAAAACATCTAAGTAGATGTCAGGAATGAGCCAAACAAGTCAGACTTAAAAGTACATCAAAGCAATCTGACAAAATAAAAGAGGTCAAAAATTGTGTTATTGTAGGAATGGCTGTAGTTCCACACTAGCTCTCAGCTGAGATGTAGCAGCTAAAAGTAAAAGAGTTGATGGCTGTGCAGATGTGCTAAATGTGGCTCAAAATGGATTATGGAATGGCATAAATGCACTTGAGGTCAAATTCATCATGTCACAGCTGCATAGACATCCTGTAAAGGCAAACATAAGAATTGAATGAACAACAATGAGAAAGGTTATATGGACACAAAATGGACTGTGGGCTGCCTTTTAATACACTACCTAGTGTGGGAGGCAGATCTGTGTCAAGTCATGTAATTTTAGGGATATATCTGGAGATCATGCTTTCTGCAGATCAGGTTTGTATGCTCTTCTTGACCACATACTCCAGAAAAACAAACAAACAAACAAACAAACAAATTTGCCAGCTCAGTAATCTGGCAGACGAAAGCACTGAATTGGGTGTTCTGACACACAGCAGTGACAGATACCTTTGTACCAGAGAACTGAGGGCAAGTGCAGTCTCCAATGGAATAAAGGAACTATTTTTGATATGGTTATTCTGTGGTGCTGCTGTCTGAAATTTACATTCATATACCATAGAGTAACACTGTGTTTAAATGGGGCTACTTACACTATACCAGAGATAAGCAATGGTCCCCAAGAAATTAGTCATTCATTTTGTGCAGTCAATATATATTTTGCTTAGCCTCAGGCAAAGCTGAAGGCAGCCTGTGCCCTAATAGGCTATTATTAGTTGCCATTAACTTGACAACAATAAATGGGAACGTTGGTGTTTCATACAATCTGTTTAATGCTGCCAAAACAACCAGAGTGTGTTTTAAGAGTGATTATGACAGAGTTGGTATGTCTACTAAGGAAAACAAGCCTTAAATAAATTCTCAAATTGGGCTACCCACAATGAACAGAGAAGTATATATCCTGTACCAGGGAACTTCAAGCTAGAGTTAAGAATGAATAGGAGAATGTCAAGAAATAGCTAAAAAGAAGAGAATTTTACAAAGTATATTAGCTCCAGATCAATGTAAAGCAAAAAACTGCCTTGAAAACACATCTACTGGAGTCCACACAATTAATTGTCCCAGTATTACCACAAAAAGACCTGTCCTGCGTTTGTAGCAAAAATTGTGTTCATAGAGGAAGAAAAAAAAAACAAACCCAAACCCGAAACCCTACTGACCCTTTCAAAATATGGACAACAATTACAATGTTTTCTCAAATCATGCAACAACTATGCCTTTCTCATTAATTTTACTCCAGTTCCAAATAGCTGCATTCACATACCATGTGGTCAATCTCTCGAAATCCAGAATTTCTAAAATACTTTTACAGAAATTAGGAAGTATAATTGAAACTAATATTTCATGTACTTGCAGCAACAGATCTTATGCACTCTCCCATTTTCACACCAGAGTAGTTACTGGCAGGCAGAAAAAAATACATTTCCATGGCAGAAACTGACAAGGATAAATGCAGCACTTGTGGCTCTCTGATAAAGCCCCTGGCACACAGGGCTGCATAGAAACAGGAAGATGTGCCATCTGTGACATAATTTAAGTAGAGATTTATGAACTTCTGTATTCAAAGAGTGCTTTGTTGCTGAGTGCCAGCCCAGATGAAAAACACACTGCTCTCTGGATCAGGAATCTTGGCTATGAACTTACCTGTGAAATAATAGATAATATAAACAAATATAGCTTGAACTGCAGTGTTCAAATTTATTCAGACTTAAACTTTCAAGACTGTAATTATTATAATGCCTCAAGAGCACAGAAAGCACTGATACCTGTGGAGTTGGCCCTGCCTGGACACATCTAAAGAGTACAAGTGAACCTGTGCTCTCAGCTTCTCTCTCTTCCAACTTGCTCTTGCCCTCACTTTCCTCTCCCCCAACTATTGAGTTAAAACTGGTACTCAGGCACCTCAAACATGAATCCCTGATTTAAAAATTGTTATAAGGCTTACAAGAAATGAAATATTAAAGCCACATGCAAAAAGATTATCTACACCAGTTTAAATTGATTAATTTTTTTCAGAGACAAACCTTTAGAAGAAAGCATTCTCTGGTGGGGAAGCACAATGCTATGGGTCCCTATCTTAACAACACTTAACCCATAGCTCTTGCTGCATCTGTGCAAGATGAAGGTGCACTACTTACAGTAATCTTCATCTACAGAAGATTACTCATTTAGCATACACAAATAATGAATACTAAGTAAGCAACAAATATGTTGCTTACTACTAAGCAACATATCATCAATACCCAGCTGCACCACTGCACTCCAGACTGAAATACAGAACTCAGTTACATTATTTATTTGCTTTCAATACTTCTGCTTCCCAGCACCTTACAAGAGAAATGTGTATTTTTTAGTCTAAATGGCACAAGTATGCACATTCCTTCCATGTAGCATTCCCTGTCAATCATTTTCACAGTTAAGGGCCAACCAATGCCAGGCAGACCGGATTCAACTCCTTCAGCCACCACCTAAAACCCAGTGTCTCTAGGAAAACACAAACACAATTCCCCCTCAAGCCCAAACAAAACCTCTCTATGCAGCAAACACTTGACAGAGGATGGATCCCACAGAAGCAGGAAGCTGGAAGACAGGCAGCCATTGCACACTGGAAATGGGGTGGCATCTAAAAATTACCTGATTCCACCAACACAATAAAATGTGGTAGTGCAGAATGCTTAATCCTCAATGGAATATTTAATTAGAAACAAGCTGTGCACTAAAATCTCTTTTTTAACCTCAACCAGATAATGTAATGTTTTTGAGCCTAATATTGGACATTATCATTGGTACTGGCAGACATCCAGGTGAAATTATATAATTACGAGCTTCATGTTTGATAAATTCAAACATATAAGTATAGAAACGCCATTTGTACTGGATCAGTTGTATTAACCTTATGACTACAGAGGCACTAAAATATGATGTTGTCAACATTGAAGTGTCAATATTTAATGACATCTAGACCTGCCATAACATGCAGCTATTAAACACAGAAATCAAAATATCAGCTAAGCTTGTTGATCTTAAGCATGATAAATTTGTTTACTTACTATACTTTGTAAGGAAGCAGAGTAAATTTTAATCAATTTTAATGCAGAGATAAAAAACACTAATTCCTCACATTACTTCATTAAATACACATTTTTTTCTTCTTAATTATAAGAATTCTTATAATTATTATTATAATTCTTAATTGTAAGAAAAGCAAATGAGTAAAAAAAATCCCGAATGCGAATGAATATTTAGAAAACACAGATAGACAAAAACCAAGCCCATGTGACGCACAAGCCCACTCTCTATATGCAGAGAAATACAGAACTGAGACATGACAAAGACCTGTTCAGTCTATCCTACTGATGAAGACACGTGTTTAGGTGGAGCATAAGATTAGAGGTAAATAGAGAACTCAGGACTGCAGGTTGTCTTTCTCAAGTCATCTGGCTGAAGAGCCTTAAAACTATGCCCAGAAGTAACTGTATGCAAAACACAATATAGATGTACATATATAGATATATTTTAGAACCTAATTCATAGGCCACCAAATTCAAATGATAAATATCTTACCACATAAAAATGAAGAATGTGGGAAAGTTATTAGCCTTTAGAGAAATTATGTTTTAACAAAAACACTGTTTCATTTTTTTCACTTATTTTCTGTCTAAACTATAAATACAATACACACAGCAAACAACCCCTTCACCTCACATACAGTACAGGGATCTAGGAAGGAAGGGGGAAAAAAGAAAGAAAATAAAGGAGAAAAAAAGAAAAAAGGAAAATAAGAGAAGTAGGAAAAGAAAGCTTTGAATAAATTACTACTACTATTGAGTACATGAGATGCATTTCTTTATTACCATTCTCCCCATCAGACTTCCTCTCATGGTCAGTGTCAGTGAGGGACAGTGCTGAGTTTGCCCGGCTGGACAAGCAGGAGCTGTGCTCTGATTTGATGCCCCTCATCCACATCCTCAGGGCGTGGTCCGGGGATGCTCCTCCTTCTGTCTCAGTGTCCACATCCGAGCCCACCTCCAGAGGGTAACTGTGCTCAGCTACACCATGGAGGTCAGTCTGATAGCCAGAGCACAGGATATGGGGAGTCTCACAGAATTCCATGTCTGCAAAAAACAAAAGTTCAGAAAAAAATGTAGCAGTGAAAAGCAATATAACTTTGATTTTCTTTTGGAGAATCTGTTTTGAGAATTAACACTGTTCACACTATTAGAAGACTTTTTTTTGGTCAGTGACTCACTCTGCTACCTAATCTGCTCTAAAGGTAATACAACTAGAAGAATATATAGTAAAATATATAGTGCTGCACTGTAATTGTGCCTTTTTGTCTGATAGAAATATGCATTATAGCTCAAACATGTGCACACCCACACACTGATAGCTGCACATCAATTTACAACTGAAGTGAGCATCTGCAAACACAGACACTTTCTCACATTTTGCCAGGAAGGCAACAGCTCTAAATTAATCTCAGTATGTTTTTATCTTAGGGAAAGTGTAGCAAATTTCCCAATAGAGAAGTTAAAAAAATAACATTTAAAGTATTTGGTTTATGGTGGAAGACAAAGAAAGGGTACTTACCATTGGCTTGCTCTTTGAGAGTGCTGTCCTTGCATATTCACACCAGTGGGTTTGGGTTCTCCAGTGCTGGTGGCCTACAGGAACTTCCTAGAAGAGCAGTGACTACTAGGACTGTACAAGGGCCATCTCATGACACCAAGCCATCTGAGATTTGAGAGCTGTACAGTGCTACAAGTTATTCTTACTGAACACAGCAGCTGCTGGGCAGCAGAAATCCAAGGACAAACAGAAGGTGGACACGACCCATAATGTGAATATGCAGAGGAAACATTCTCGAAGAACTACAGGTAAGTAACACACATCAGCAAATTGCAACTCCCCTTTGAGGTAGCCTCTGCATATTCTCACTTGTGAGAATCCAATTACAAATGCAACTCACAGGGACTATGACAGGGAGTTCTAATTAAATAAGGATTACAGAACTGCACTTCCTAATTGAACATCAGACCTGGGATGCCATCTTAAGAGACTAAATACAATATCAAATATGCATACAGTATTTCAGTTTCTAGAAAAGAAACATTAGAGACAAGAGTCATTGTTTAAGATTAAGGACAAATACTCTTTCCTACTGCCATCCTAACCAAAGCTTTAATTTGCCAAACTAATCCACTTACCAGCTAGTGAGAGGAATGATTCTGATTTTAATCATTCTCTCTGAAATAACAAAAAAGCCCTAGTATTTTCTTGAAGGTATCAACCAAAACCTACAAACCAAATGCTAAGACATAAATTTAACCACCTGAGGAAACTGTAATTCATCTGTCTCTATACATCTTTCTTCCGCCATACAAAAATTCCTGAAGGTCTTGGCTGTAGTCTTGGCTTTGAGCTCAGGGAATGGCAACCTCATTTGTGGAGGGCAAGGGAAGAAGGCAGGCAGCAAACAGAAAAGCATGGCCACAGCCTCACTGTCCTACAGGAGTCATGGAAGGTCACCCTGCCTTGCCTGGTGTTGCTGCATCCCCTTGGAGCAGCCAGACAGGTGTGGGGATGATCCCAAGTGCTCCAGCACCACTCTGGTCTTTTCTTCTTGTTCACAGGAGGAGGAGGAGGATGTGGTCTCAGCCCTATCCTTGAGAAGCTGAGATGTGCCTTCACAAGCCCTGTCCTCCAAGTCTCTCAAATGCACTGAGGCTGACTCCAAAGTTTGATGGAGATGGCTAAAACAGCCAAAATACTTGGAAGCAGTTGTGTAGGAAATATTTGGCATTTGAATTTTGTCTACCTTACAACAAGTATGATTTCAAGAAACATCATCTGATCCTTCTTCCCCTTTAAAATAGATCTTTGCTTGTTTTCACCATCTGAGGAACTTCCCCATAATTAAAAATCTTCCTATAACTTCAAGAATCACCTCAGCTGATGCCAGGTCCTCAGGGGACAAGGATGCAGGATTTTTTTACATGGCTGTCCCTCCAGGCAGATGTCTGCCATTAGCAGCCTGGAGCCCATCTTCTCCCTGTTTGCATTTGCATATGCCACAGGGAAAACTCATCCCAGTAAATCCCACAAAATGCTAATTAGATTACACATTTTTAAGAAGGACAGAATTTACCCTTCAGTCTATATGTTAATTCCTTTTTTTTTCTTTTTATACTCTAACTCATGTTCAACTCAAGTTTAACACAATCTATTGCCTTAATAGTCTATTTCTTAAGTATACAAGCCTTTGCAGGATTTTAACTCCCACAGGAAGAATTTTCTGAAAAGCTTTTACAACGGCAGAAGTGGCTGCTTTTAGTCTGCATATCTAACCTTTTTACCTAAAATACTACATATTTCCACAAGGAGATAAAGTTCAAGTAGATTTATGATAGATTCGGCATTACCACAAAGACATAGTCACAAGAGAAATGAGAGAACATTAATACAAAATTCAAGGTTTTGCATGAACAGAGGACAGAGGAAAAAAAAAGTGGCAGTTATGAAGATGATGAAAGGATTTTCAACTCTGGACCCTCACAGAGCCTGCTGTAACACAACCATTAAAAAACAAGTATTTTATCTCACATTGATACTAATTAGTTTTTTCAAAAAAGTAAAGCATGAAGAAATATGAAATAGCTAATGAGCAATAAAAGGAAAAAAGACTTGTTAAAAAAACCAGCATTGCAATTAAGAGACCCCTTTCTTTCTACCACTAAATACAATTTTCTATTAAAAAAAATAAATCTTCAGAGATAAGCAGTTAAAGAGAAGTTGGAGAGTGGTGCCTCTGCTATTTAAGGCTGATATGAGAACTGGGCAGCTGACCAGGCAGTTCTAACACAGCTGCAGCTTTGCTCACAGAGTTCCTGAAAATGCCAGGCAACTCACGAAGGGTTTATTTACTGTGGCATCAATTTAGCCACCAGTACAGCTCAAAACCTAAGTTAGGATTTTCATGCAGATACAAAACACTTATCCCAGTGCATCTTCCATTGCATGCTCAGGAGTAACTGTGTGCCAGCTACTCTTTCTGCAACTCTTTTAGTTTTTCTGGCACAGGTTAAAAAAAATAATAAAATTACCCCAGTGAAAGACCACTGAGGCCCTTCTCTCCAACCTAGTAATTCTGCAAACTGGGACTTGCAGGACTTGTGCAACCTCCTCACTGTGTCCATTTACCAAGAATTCTGCTAATGTCTATCAACTAACCATGAGTATAAGTAAGTATTTATTTCAATAAATAAATATTTAAAATATAGAAAAAATGATCCAAACAAAGAAGGCAGAAGAAACATAAAACTAGAGTATAAATAGTGATGGGCATGAAAAACTTTGCTTTCCAGTCCTCCTATCCCCTTATGGAAAAATATTATTTTGTATTAATAACAGAGTGATAAGAATTAATTTAAATTACTTAATTGACCTATGTTTTCAACTAGAGAAAGATCTTACAGAAAAATATAATTTATTTATAAACTGGAATAGTTTGACATCTTGCAATTAGGTGCCTTTTATGAACCCCATCATATAATTAAGCAATTGCAATTTATTGATTGTGAAAGTCTTTAAACATCACTGATTCACAAATTAATTTTATTCTTGATTCTTGGTATGAGGTGGTTCTTACTCTGAGAATGCTCCCTGCTCAAACACACACAAAATCAGTTCTCTGGATGAAATAAATACAAATTATTCTTTCTGCAAATATAAAATTATAAAAGACACTAAGTAGCTCAAAGGCAAGGTGAAAATATCAGTCTTGGAATTTGAAATCCATGAAATTGATTTTGGCCTAGTGTCCTCTTTGAGACTGGGTTTTGGAAAACACTGGAAATATCAGAGTCTGGGGAGGAGAATGAGGAAGGAACTCCAGAAAGGCAAATAATATACATTAACCTGAACAGAGTCAAGTTTATACTTGTGTCTGAGGGAATATATTGGGAATGCAAGGGAAACATATCCCAAAGATGCACTTTTGTTTCTGGGCTGGGATTTTAGTGTTACACCACAGCTTGGTGGGTATTTTTCCCACTGAGCTTAGCCCAGTGCTTTAATCTGCAGGTGCATCATGTGTGCTGCAAAACAAGCAGAAAGGCAGACCAGCCACTCATGGTGTAAGAGACTCAGAGACACTGGGAAGGAGGGAGGGAAGGAGTGAGAAAAAATGCAGATCACATGGGGAAAGTGAAGTTTGCCTTCATTTTTGGAAGCAATACATATGCATTCTCCTAAATGAGAAATTTTGAGGGCTATTGAACATTCTGCTAAATTTCATGTGTTCAACGGCCCTTAAAATTTCTCATTTTTCACCTGAGGACTGTGGTTTCCTGGCTGGTTGCTGGACTTGAGAATTAAATGTGCAGAGATCTTAAGCTGCTTCATAAAAGCATTCATGAAACACAACCCACTACATATATTTTTAAACGCTTTTGTGTACATGCTTCTCATTTAGTCCAAGATATTACTTCTTTCCATGTTGAGAGCATACCACATCTTTCCTAGGACAATATAATTCAATGAAATTAAGCTCCAGTAACCATCTGTACAAAAACCACTGAGGAAGAAACCAAAAATAAATTAATTTTCAAAAATGCATTACACTGACTATTAATTTGTTTTATAAATTTCTTGTTTATCAGCAATTGCATTGTTGCCCGAGCCTGGAACTGTTTCTGAGCTGCATATATTATAATAATTAAAAATGGATATCCATATTACACATAAATAACAACCATATAAAATATACCATTTGAATTTTTTTTACTTCAATAGCAAATGTACTGTATTATACATTTTATTTTGCTGTATTTCAAGTTTTCCTTGCATTCCCTTATTTATGTGGCTTACTTTCTTACATTAACCTCAAGTTACCAGCAGAGCTGATAGAAAGTTCAAAAATATCAGCTGTAACAACCGAAGGAGGAATAAAAGAGGAATCAGAGTCTGTTACAACACTAAGGAGGGAAATTTGCAGGTTAGGCAGCTAAGGGATTAGGAAAGGAGGCTGCACTTTCAGAAAGCTCTTTGGCTTGTGAAATTTATAAGGAAGAAAAAGTCTTTATTCTTCAGGTCCTTCCCTAGAGGTACCAGAGGA